ACTTTAGTTTGATACCTAATTGTTAAAATAGTAGATAATACCAGATTAACAATTATGTTCAGTAAAATTTTGTATTAAAACAACTGCGAAATGTTTAGATATAAGTTTAAAAAATATGTCTTAAGAAAATAAATAAGTATGGTTTGATCTCATGAAAAAAGGCGTTAAAAACATTTAGCATCATTTCTAACCCTCGATCTAATAAGCATCCTATGTATTAAATATTTTTTTGATTTTTTCATTCTATACGCATTTTATATATATTCTTAATTAATATTATATATATATATATATATATATATATATATATATATATATATATATATATATATATATATATATATACACACACATATATATATATATATATATATATATATATATATATATATATATATATATATGTATATATATATATACATATATATATATATATATATATATATACACACATATATATATATATATATATATATATATATATATATATATATATATATATATATATATATATATATATATATATATATATATATATATATATATATATATATATATATATATATATGACAAAATAAATGATTTAAACATATACATTTTGTTTCATTTTAATTTTAGCGTTATAGAAACTACACTGTTAGTTCTATCTTTATTTAGTGTTTGTCTTTATTTTTTGGCTTTTTGTCTTTGCTATTAAACCTTTTAATAAATATTAAGATTTTTAAGTTGCATTGCATTATATATAGATAAAACCTATTTGCCATCTATTTTTTATTTAAACACTAATTATAACAAACTTTCAAACTCCTTCGACATTATTCAAACAACAAGAATATTTTTCAACTGCATTTTTGCAACAACATATTCTAATTAAAACAAGAAAAATTTTTTCAGTGAATATACTAGAAATTTTAAAATAATTATGAAATAATAGGCAATATTATTAGAAGATAAAAATTAATTAAAAAAGTGTTACTTTTTTTTTGTAATTCACACAGTTGTATTTTTTATTTTGTTCAGCTTCGTATGGCTTATACAGACTGCAGTTCAACTAAAGAATTAATTATCAAACTTAATTAACATGTTAATTGACATGATATTGTTCCGTTTTAGTGTGTTCTTTAGACGCTAAGGAATTTATACATTTATAAAAAACATATTGTTTTAAAAAAATAACAAATTTGAGTAATAATGTTAAAACTTATTAAGAAAAAAAACAGTTTTTGTAAGTCAGTTTTTTTTAGATTGAAATTTTAAAGTTGTAGACGTCTATATAAATCAAAATTTAGAAAATAAGTTAAATGTGTCACTACTTAATTTTTTGAAATTTTGAAAATTTAGAATAAAAAAAAAAAAGATATAGAGTGCTGAAAAAGCTAATGCATACGCAGGAAGAGGAGAAAAAATTGCTGAAAGTTTCAGCAGTGCAAAAGGAAGGTGAAATTATGTTCGAATTATGTGGTTTTTCTTCATACGCTCTTTATTGAGACTTTCTTTATGTTTTTTTAATATTTTTCTTGACATGAATTAGCGTACATATAATTTTATATGAACGCTAATTCTTAGATTAAAAGAGATATCTTCGTGATCTCATTCACAAGAATCGCAATTTAGTGTTTTAATCAAACAGTCACCAACAATATCAAATTCAAAAAAAGTTATATTGAAATTTTTTAAGCTTGGGTTGTAAATAAATTTTCCGCGTAAATGTTGATTCAAAAATTCTCCTTTAAAAAGTCTTGCATAAACTTTTGAGATAACAAAAAATAACTCCACTTTCTTGAAAAAAAGATATTTCAATTTCAGTGAAAAAAAGAACAAAGTAAATACAGTAACTAGGGATAGCAGTTTTACTTATTTTGATGTAAAAACGCGATTTACTTTTAAGCGTAAATTACTTACATTAGGGTGTTTACGCAATTTTTTTACCAAGTGTAAATATTTTTTATTTTAATTACATTGTATTCCTTAATATATTTCATTTCCAAAAAGGTTTTAACCACTTCTGTAGCTTATTTAGTTATAAAGATGTACGCATTTTAACACTTATTTACAGAGTATCTTGTGAGTACCAATAGAAAGTTGTAATAATAGGGACAGATCAATGTTTTGAAAATATGGGGCGTTTGAGGCACCCTAATATAGATACATATAGTCGTCAAACAATTTTATACAAAATTTGCCTTGGCTCTATCGTTCATAAGTTAGACAAAATTGTCTAACTTACTTAGCGAAGTGCACCAACGAGAAGGTCAGCCATAGGACTTTGCACTCCATCAGTGATTGTCATTTTGTCTAAGGTCAGCCCTCCATTTTTAGATTCTTTCCTTTATTTGATAGGCAATTCATATTTAAGTAATAGTAACTCAGCCTAAGGTTAGCCCCCTATTTTGTGATTCATTACTTTATTTGATAGGCAGTTTGTATAAAGATTTTTTTTTGTTATTTTAATTTTAATATTCATAATAACGTGCCGTTAAGCATAGAGTTAAAAGTATTAATATATATTAAAAAATATCTTTAAATTAAACAAAAATGGTCCATATAAAAATATCAGATTCATACCATTTATAAAGATAAAAACCACTGTACTATAATGCAGTTAAAACAATTAATTGGAACATAATAATGAAAGAAATAAAAAAAATACATACTACAACATAATTCTAAATTTTTAATAAATAAAATTACCTCACAATCTTAGCTAAAGAGAATATCACCTTTTTCAAAATCAATTAATAAAGGAAATGACCATACTTTATCAGGTTCATTATCATACTGATCAAGATATGTGGTCTGCTAGCATTTTATTTAGCAATTTGTACTACTTGTGCACGTTCTCAAAATAATTCAAGAGAATCTTTTTCTCTAACACGGTATTGTATAGAAAAAGCTACAAAATCAGATCATTTGTTGATAAATTTTAATAAGGAATATTTTTTATTTTGATAAGGACTATTAATTTTTTTTGTTTTGCATCCTGAATTTTTTCCATGAATTCTTTTTTTTTTTGCTTTCAACAGCTGCATCGTGTATTATACAAGGCTTTCAATTATTACTTATATTACTTAAAGATTATTTGTTTGTTGTTAAATATGCTTGAATAACAATAAGAAGATTTTGATATAATTCCTCTGAAGACAAGATTTTTATTATGCTCTCTTCTATTTTTGTTTAACAAAAAAAATTTTGTCACATTTGGCACTTTAGATTAGGCGAAAAAAGTTTAGTTGATAAAGGAGCACTTTTGCCTTTAATGGCATTTCTATATTGCATACCTTTAATATTGCATATCTTTAAAATCTATTAGATGTGTAAAATAATCCATTTTTAAATGCAACATAGGTTCAATTTCTAAATCCATCATAGATTCCATTTTTCTTTTTAAAAATTTATTTACTTTTTTCAACTTTTTTTAGCATTTTTTGTATATTAGTATTCTTTCTTTAAAATTTTCACAGGTGGAAAAAAAGCTACACCTAACAACTATAATTATAGTTGTTTGTTGTTTCTTTAACTTTCTGATGATATCAACTAATCTACTTATCTTTTTGACTAAAACTTTCTTGCAGCAAAACAGTTTAACATTGAAATCCACGCAACATATAATATTTTATGAGCCCCCAAAAAGTCTGAGCGGTACAAAACTTTAAGAATATCTGTGATGATGGGCAGTCAACTATCCGCTATCAGTAGCTTATGTGGCTACAATGGTGTCTTTTTAATAGCTTATGTTGCTTCAATGATGCTTCTATTATTCTATTCAAGACTAAAATTTTATGAATAGTTTTTATGAAAAGTTAGTTTCCATTGGGTGAGAGTTATTTTTAATATTTACCACGCTGACTTAAAGAATTAAAATAGTCTTTCAAAATAAATGAAAAATTAGGTTTTCACCCTTTTGAAACTTATTTAAACATCAAAAAAGTAAGACTATTCAAAAACCGTACCAGCTGCTGATATGCTACTAAATGAACTATAGTTTATTTTACCATTTCATTTTTAAAACTTTTTTAATAACGTTTTTTTACGTTTCCGTTGTATTTTTATAACAACTTTATAATCATTAGATTTACTTTAATGGTTTTAATGTATACTAAAACGTTTCTTTTTTATAAGTAGTTTTTTAATTACTAGTCATATTATTTTTCAGAGCCTTCAAACATTCGATCCCACTGAAAATTGATGCGTCTCTCGTGAAACAAATTTAATAAAAACCCAGATAGCATGAACACGTTGGCCCGACGTTGGGCCAACGTATTTTATATCCGCTAGAAAAATTTCCTCGGCATAAGGTAGGAATTGCAATGTTTTAAATGTGCGTTGTGGTTTTCTGCGCTTAGCTTATTCAATAATTGAATAAACAAAGCGTAGAAAACCACAATGCACATTTAAAACAAAGTTATGCCGAAGTAAATTTTCTAGCCAAATATATCACGTCAGCCCGACGTCGGGCCAACGTGTGCTAGTTTTTTCATGTTAACTTTTAAACTACTAAACAGTTATTGTTTTTTTGTTTAAATGAATTAGCTTAAAGTTATCTTATTATTTTTAGTTTAATTTTTTTTTATTATTATTATTTTAATTTTTTTGTTGCAAAAACATACTTCTATGCTTATTAAATAATGTACACTATTAAATTATTTAAACATAGTATTTATGGCCAGAGCAAATAGTTGGTAAAAAAATGCTACTTATGGTATGCATTTTTAATCAAAACTGTAAAGAAAAATTCTTGACAAGCTTTTGATCAAAAAAAATAATTTATTGCTTTTTTTTATTACATTTTTTTTACGTTTATATTTACTTTTTTGTAGCTGTTTTTTTTTTTTTAATTTCTTTACGTTTTTTTTAAAAAAAATTTTTTTTACGTTAAAGCATTATAAGTATAAAAAATGGTAGTAAACTATATTTTTAATTAGGTTTACGTTTTTACGTTGTTGTTGTTGTTTTTGCGTTGTTTTTATTACATTTTTTCATTATGTTTAAGAATTGTAAGTGCCAGATATTGAAGTGAACCACGCCAAACAATTTTGCTTACATTTGTTCAAAATCTTTTACTTGATTAACAAAACAGTTGTTTAGAATTTTATAGGTCTTTTTCTTTTTTAACGACGATATAGTAATAGGCTTGAGTATCGCGTATTTTTGAAAACAAACTGTTTGTTATGAAAGTTAGTTATAAAAGTATTGATATATTCAAACAGTTTGCATCACGAGTAGAAGTGGTTTTACGAGAAAGGAAACAGTTTGTAACACGCGTAGAAGTGGACGAAAGATTTATTTTAGTTAAAATAGTCAACAAATC